GCAGGCAGGCCACAGAAACAAAGGAACTGCAGCCCGCCCGGGCACCCCGAGTACTCGGACCCAGCGCCCAGACAGGCTGGGCTGGGCGATGCCACGAGCCAAAAGAGGGCGGTGGGATCGAAGTGGGGAGGGCTCTGGACAGAAGCTGGGTGGGCCAGGAACCAGCTGAACTCTTTAAATGCTGCTGAATGGACCACACTAGTGGGAGCATGGAAGACAGTGGTTCTGAGTGTAGTTTAAACTGTGGGTCTGGCTCAAGAGGTTTCAGAGGAGAAGAATATTAATATGTGGCCAAAGATTGTTCTTTTGGTATTTTGAAGAATGTGGCTGCTTTTTGCCCTTATCTTTTGAGACTTAAGTGATCAGTTTTGGATTGATTCCATTGACAGAAGAAATCTTAAAACAGTCTAGTATAGATTCCGTCATGTGGTTACTAGTGGTAATTCAATGAACATTTATAATGAAAAGACGCAAACTGAGCAAGGAAAATTATAAAATCTAAAATCCAAGGGAAAAAAAAGGAGCATCAGAAAGTAAAATAGAACTAAGTACTGTGTTCAAGGAGATAAACAGATTAATAAATGGAACAAAGAGAGTGGTGATCTCAGGGCAAGATCTCACCCAGATAAATTTCCAACTTGTAAAAAGGAATTAAAGAAAAATCTACAGCAGGGTATGCTAATGTCTGCCTTTAATCCCAGTGTTGGGGAAAAGAGCTAGAGGATCTCTGAATTTGAGGCCATCCTGGTCTAAAAGCAAGTAAATGGTCAGCCAAGCTTAGGTAGTGAAAGTTACCTTCAAAACCAAAATGTAGGTGAGGATGTAATTGAACAAGTGGTACATGTTTCAGCCTCAGCAAACAGTAGAACTTGGCAACTCTGGTCATGATATTCTGGCTTTAGAGTTAAGAATAGAAGACAGGGGGGCTGGAGAGATGGCTGAGAGGTTAAGAGCATTGCCTGCTCTTCCAAAGGTCCTGAGTTCAATTCCCAGCAACCTCATGGTGGCTCACAACCGTCTGTAATGGGGTCTGGTGCCCTCTTCTGGCCTGCAGGCATACACACAGACAGAATGTTTTATACAAAATAAATAAATAAATAAATAAATAACAGGGACTCTGCAATTTGCCTCTGCTATTAAGGAAAGATGTTGAGGCCAGGCATCTGTCAGAGTTGTCCCTGAATAGAGGCCTAGAAATGCCATGTGTGAAGCTGTGGAGTTGAAACCTGGATTGTCTTGAAGGCCCCAAGATACTGGAGATGCCAGAGCCATGCAGAGGAAACCTGGTCTAGGGCATGGAACCAGTACAATAGTAAGAGTATGTTGCAGTCAACAAGATGAAAGGAGATAGAGATCTGAAGAGTGTTTCCACATCAGACGTGGTTGGAGTTTGCCCACTTGGTTCTGGTCTTGCTTCAGTATTTCCTCAGTAACTTCCCTTCCCTATGTTTCAGAATGGTAATGCATATCCTGTGCCATTTTATGTTGAAAGTATGTATTCGTAATCTGCCTTTTTATTTTGATTTTGTAGGGTTTACAGTTTAGAGATGAATTTTAGAAGAAGCTTTGAACTTAAGACTTTTAAATAAGTTTGAGACTGGTATATGAGACTGTTAATACTTCTGAAGTTGCCTGAATGCATTGCGTTTTGCATTATGATATAGCTATAAGGCTTTGTGGGTGGAATGTGGTGGTTTGAAGGGAAATGGTACCCAAAGCTAATGAGAATTCTAGGTGATTCCTATTCTCATACTGTTGCCCATTCCTTATTTTGTCGCCCACCTCTGTTCCCAGACAATTGGTCTACAGATCTCTGAGCTTGTGGTTTCTATGACATATAATTTTGCTTTGGGACTTATTTTCTTGTGATTAATTCTCTAAAAATAGACTCTAATTCAAGTATCACTTCTTTTCTCATTCCCAGAGACAAGTGTTGTATGTATGGCCTTTATTGTCTGCTCCTTTGCCGCCTAGTTCCCATTCCTGCTCATTCTTCTACTCCAGTGTATCTAGGTAGCCTTCCTTAACAAGTCTAAGTCTCCTGACTATATGACTGTCTTTACCACATTTCTGCCCTTGCATCCACGCTTGTAGGCTTTGCTAGACATATTAGGGGCTGTGTGGACAACAAGGCTGTGGGATTAGGTGGGAGGAATGAGAGAAGCATTGTCCAGGCAGCTAAAGCCCTAGAAGTCTGCTGAGTAGACAATGGAGGCTTAGCAGAACACCCAGAGTAATAAGGTTGTCTGACAGAGGAGGTTGGGATGGTAGCAGAGACACAGAGATATGGTCCTGAGTCCTTAAAGGCTTCAGCATCCTCTGGGGATGTGCTCGATGTACAAACAGTTACTTACCAAGCAACCCAAGCCTGCAATCCTGCCTATTGGGGAGACTGAGATAGTAACCTACCCTGGATACAGAGTGAGTTCAAGGCTATCCTAAATAACATAATGAAACCTTATCCACAAATAAGAAGTAAAAGTGACATAGCTCAGTGGAGTGGTTGCATAACTTGTGCAATGGCCTAAGCTTAATCCCCAGTATTGCAAAACATATGACCCAAACAAACTGTTAGCCCCAGTCCAAACCATGAATCAGAAACCATAGACAAGTATCCCAGCCGATCCCAGTCTAGGGACATCTCCAGATGATTCCAATGCACAGCAAACTTTAAAAACAGCAAGAAAACATATAAATTGTTTAGAATCACTGACAGAGAGATAACTACCTGGTTCTAAATGGGAAGCTGGCCATTGTGATTGAAAGCACAGGGACTGCTGTAGAACCAGACTTGTGGGTTTAGAATACTGCTCTGGAGTTGAATGGCCAAGTGTTCTGAGACTCATGAAAGCAATCCTATGGGTTTCCATCCTCCCATGAGGATTTGCCTGGATCTCAAAACTTTCATATGCCTCAGAATCTCTAGGGTGATTTTGGAAAACAAATACAGTTTCAACTTCTCACTTCAGAGAACTCTAGACTGAGCATCTTGTGCTGTCACATGAGACTATGGTGTCATTCAGGTCAGAGCTGCTGCATGTCTGGGTCCATGGTACTACAGCAGCCACAGTCTGAATTGATGTCTATGGTTCCTTTTGCCACTGGGGCTGTGCAGATGCCCAGGGCCTGGTCAGCAACTTGAGGCCATTTTGGCCTAGGGCCATGCTGTCACTGAGGCCATTCCTATCTGGGTAGCCTGTGATGCCACAGAAGTGGGGCATAGTGAGGTCTGGTCCCAAGCACTGCTGAGGGCCATGTGTGGGTCCATGGTCCTGCTGCAACTGAGATCTGTGTTGATGTCCATGGCCCATAGTACCACAGAGGGTCACAGGAACCATGTGTGTTAAAATCCGAGGGCTGTGCTGAGCCGACCCTACCCCTCACTGGCCCTGGGATAGTTGGCCCTGGCTCTTACTGGACACTGCACCAAGAGAGCTGGTACTGTCCCTCATGGCAGAGCTGCCCATCCCATTGCAAGATGGCCCCACTTCTCACCACAGGCATGGGAGACTGACTTTGATCCTGATGGCAAAGGCCTAGTTGAGCTGGTTGTACCCATCCTGAAGGGGGCAGTCTCAGTGCCCAGGACCTACCAGCTTAGCTACCATCCAGACACACATCCTGGTCCTTGGATTGGTCAACCCTAACATCTACCTCATCTATGACCTGTTGGAGAATGTGAAAGTACCGGTCTTGCCGAACAATAGCCTCTGGGACAAAGTTTTGGTGAGGGTCCAGTAATGTTGGAGCAACAGGGTGCTTGAATCAGACCAATAACTCATTGCAAAGGACATTTTGTGGGTGGGGTTAATTGGACAAAAGTGCATACTGTGTGACACACGATAACCCAATGCCAATAAGATAAATGAACAGGTGTTGGAAGGATGGAGGAGTGAGGTGACTTTTTGTTTTTAATTAACCTGGGATTGGGGCATGTTGCAGTGGTGAGAGGCAGATATGGAGGGATTGGGAGGTGAGTTCGGTTGGGGTGCAAGATGGGGAATTCCAAAAGAATCAATAAATGATTATGTTATTTTTAAAAAACTGTCTGTATTTCAAATTAAACCCAGATTGGTGATGATTTGGGTGTGTCAAGCATCACTCTGACAGTGTTTAAGTAAAGGGTTTCTATAATGCCATGCATGCTTTGGATACTGTGTGTGTGTGTGTGTGTGTGTGTGTGTGTGTGTGTGTGTGTTATAAACATATTATATGTAACATGTTTAACCAAAGATTAAAAACCAACTTTTAGAGCTAAGTGAAGGTCATACCTGTTCATTGTCTTCTTAAAGAATGTTAAATGTCAATGAAACCAAAGCATGAATTCTCATTGGTGACACTCTTAAATTCACATTGTGTCTCAAGAGTTTTATATAAAGACAGAAGGATTAATGCACGAGAGTAAGATGTACACCAGAGCAGTTTCAGCCCATGTCCCTTGAGGGGGCTTCAGGAATCAGACCAGGAGCCTGTAGATTGCTCTCTAGGCTCCTGAAAGCAAAGCAGCAAAGATGGAAGAAAACACAGGCACAGTCCATATAAAAGAGAAGTCCCATTATCTGTAAAAGTGACCCCATCAGTAGAAGAGTAAACTTGTGAGTTTCAAAAGGCTTTGTTATGTTTTTATGTGTGTGCTTAGCTTTTCTAAAGTGTTCTTTCTTAGAATTTGTCAAAAGTATTTGAAATTCATTCAATTCACCATGCTGTTTAGAAAGTTCCTCATGAAAATGGAAATCGAAGCAGATAGCATCCGTTAACATCAGTGAAATTATCTTCCACCATACTGGGCAGGAGCCACAGAGACATAAAAAATAGCGTGTGTGTGTGTGTGTGTGTGTGTGTGTGTGTGTGTGTGTAACAGAATCCCAATGGCCCATATAAAATTGAAATGGCATAATGACCTGATATGATATCTAGATAAATGTGCCTATGGATGTTCTTCCTAAATTGGCTCCTGTATTTTTCTCCTGGAGTTACTTCATTCTTCTTTTGGGTTCCAGGCACAGCACTTGTTGTCCAGTGGGACCATGTCCACCTGCAGGATAATTACAACCTGGGCAGCTTCACATTCCAGGCAACACTCCTCATGGATGGACGCATCATCTTTGGATACAAAGAAGTAAGTGACAAGTTTTAGATGTTTCTTCCTGTTGACCATGACCAATCCTTGAAATGTCAAGATATTGCCTGGTTTCTTTTGCTAAATAAAGATACCTTTTTTTTTAGCATTGTTTTTTACCTAGGGCTACAGGTTGAAATTTGGGATATTGTTTTATTTTATTTTCTGATATTATTGACATTATGGCCCCAAAATTTATGAAATTATTGAAAATCTATAGCATTATAAGAAAAAGCTAAGAAAAGAAACTGACCTTTTAAGATTTTTTTATCTCTCTATAATTATTCATATTTTTAGGTTTGTTGGGGTTGGCCTGTTGATTCTTATTTTACTCTGATCTCCAAATATTAGTTGACATGAAAATGGGTGATTTAGTATTCAGAGTGCCAGGAAATTAACCCCTATAATTTTTCTGGCTAATGTTCATTAAAATCTGATAGATTTAGATTTGAGTAGATTTAAAATTATTAGGACCTTACTGACCAACGGAACAAGAGAACTTAAATTGTATCTTATTTCATATTAACAAACTGACAAATGGAATTTACTAAATTGTAGCCATAAGCTCTGTAGGATGTTTAGACTATAATAACAAAGCACTTGTTTCCAAACTCTCCAGACAGTATAATGGAGGTCTCCTAGATGAAGGATATACAAATAAAGTAACAAGGGCAGCGGATGCAAATTTAAGGCAGTTGGTGGTTACAAGAGTAATTCTGACAAAGTAAATTATTAGTGGGTGTGGTTAAACCATAGTTAATGTGTAGTTGTAATACAGATCTATATCTTCCTTTCAATTTGAGAATTGTCTTTTCTTTTGATAAAAGAATCCCTCGTTGTCAAAAGATTATGGATAATAAAGACAGGATTCACTGTGGTCATCTCTATGAAATCTATCTATGCCAAAAAGTAAACATTATAAAACAAACTAAATAAAACAATTTTCTTAAAAGTTACTGACTATGTTGGTTATTTTCATTCTCTGGAAAAGATTTTCCACACTGAACTTTATTTCCTTGGGGCATTCTGCAGATGGAGAATGATATAAGATATGTCCTTATCTAAATTGCTTTGTCCTGAGCTAGATCTAGATATCATTGCCCACTGCAGTCTTATGTCACCTTCCCTGGAAGATAGGAATAGCTCTCTGAGAAGAGTTCTTACATACATACCAGGGTTTATTGTACCCTAAGGGGTTTGCTGGAATGTCAGTGCAACACCCAGGAATGGTAGTTTTCAATTGTTTTAATTATCACTGTTGGTTTAAACTGTTTCTGAAGAGATCATGGTCAGTAAGTCTGATGCCTTCCATTCTACCCACTGTCAACAGTGTCAGACAGACACTTGTGTTCTTATCCTGGCCTTGTCTTCTGTGGTCATGATCTAAGTTGCCTTCTTACTCACATGCTTCTTGAGGCCTGTCTCACTTTGCAGGGTTCAAGCTAATTCTTCTGTTCCCTCTCTGTTCTCAGTTGGCTTTTCTAATTTTTTTCCATGTTTGTCCATTTTATTCAAAGAAAAATTTCTTTTGTGGTTTGCCATGGGGACTTTTATACTGACAAGCAGTTTGATATTGCTTGACTTCCAGGACTGGACTGGGGCAACACATCTCTGCTCTGTCCTGAGTTCACAGAGGTGCTTTGCTGGCTGTTATTTGCCTTTCTACCCTTTTTTTCGGAGAGCAGTTTCTTTCCTTTTATTTCTGATAATTGTCATGCATTTCTCTATGTAAAATATATTGTTAAAAGGAATGTAGCTCAGTGCTAGAATGTTTGTCTAACATAAACAAAGTCCTAGGACCCATCTTCAAAAACACAAGAAAAAAATGTTTCTGATTCTTATTTTGTAAAATTTCCCAAAATAAGAGTTTCTTTGCAGAGCTAGGGAGATGGTTCAGTTGATAAAGTTCTTTCCATGCAAACACGAGGCCCTAAGTTTGATTCCCCAGAACCTGTGTTAAAACAACAACAACAAAAAATGTGTGGTGGTATAAATTTATGGGTCTAAGACAATGGAAAGAGAAACAGACAAATTCCTAGGTCTCACTGGTCAGCCAGCCTAAACTGTTGGGCAAGCTCCAGGTCACTGAGAGACCCTCTTTAGAAAAATGAGGTGACTTGTTCCCTAAGAATGGCATCTGCGGAAGACCTCTGACATTCACACACACATGCACATATGTGTGCCTACACACATAAACTGCCTTTCGGGTAGCAACTAGATGCTCCCTGCACTTTAAGAAAAATGTTTGTGACATCAAAAAAAAATAGTGCTTTGCAAAGCTTATCACCTTTTACAAAGTGCTTATGTATTATACAGCTGTTCAACTAACTACACATGTAGCATCCGGCTGTTCAACTACACATGTAGTCTCCAGCTGTTCAAATACACATGTAGTACCTGGATGTTCACCTACAATTGTAATATCTAGCTGTTCAATGATCCCTGGATACTATATAACTTCATTGTTTCATCAAAGCATCAGAGAAGGTGTGCAATGAATGCTTGTGGATTGATTATAAAACTATGTCATACATCATTATTTATAACATACAAAGCTGAATCAAAAAGAATTAAATGATGTGCTTAAGACACACAATTAGATAAAGTATGGTCTAGCATAAGATCTCTTTATTTAGTGCTCCTAGCCTCTTGATCCCCCCCACCAGGAGACTATGATAACAACTCATAAACCAACTTATTTGTGTTTTCAATAAATTCTCATCGATAGTTTCTGTTAATAATCCTTTCTATTGTTCTCTACCACACTGTACAAACATACGCATAGTCACTAGAGCTATTTCTGTTAGTCTGTAAAGCCATGATTGAAACAAGGTGTGTCGTAAATAATAAAATTATATGTACCCTGAATCAAGAACTGAAATTGTAAAGAGAAAAGTAAGCACAATTCCCCCTGTCCTTACTTGCTTTTTACATGCTGAGGACAGCTTTGTTTGATTGTGCTGTGTTTGGAGTAAGGGAGAAGAAAAAAAAATCTTCCTTGAATAAATTCACAAGTATCGGATTTAGTTCCATTGCAAGTTAAATCTAATAATGCTTTTCATGCAAAAATTGAATTCCATTGCTCTCGTTATTATATGATTCATTTAGTGACAATTGTGCCACGCATGCCAACCACTCACATGACCTCCATGTCTGCAAGCTTCCAGAATATTCATTTTCAACGGCATTAATTTTTGACAGTGCTGAGTAGATAAGGAATGATCAATAAATTAGAAAATCCATTTTCACCTCCCATAATAATCTTGCTTCTGATAGGACTGAATTAGGGAATTGCTGCTGCTCCCTAAACTGTGGATGGGTATGGATTTGCTCATCGCATTCACTGTTTCTTCAGCAGTGTCCAGCTGTTCTCTGCAGCTGTCTCATGAGAGTTGAAGTAGCAGCATAAATTCCTTTTTCTGAAGTGGTAGGTTGGATTATTCAATCAAAGATTTGAAATCCTGCTTTAAATTGCAGGTTCTTATACTCATCTGGTTGCTTATTTTAGCTAACAACAAAACAGTTTACTTGGGGTAAAGCCAAATTAGGAAAACCCATATTTTTTTTTTCAATTACAAACTGCTACAGAACTGTACTGTTCAATCTTGAAGTACTCACTTTTTTACCTTTTACTAACTACAGACTTACCCGATAAAATCAAACACCTTACTAACAATACATCTATGTTTTGAATATGAATAAGATCCCTTTTACACTTTGTCCTCACTCTTGTCTGTAGTCTTATGGATCTCTTTGTATATCCCTCCGTCTTTTTCCTCTAGATTTTCTCTCATCAGTCATGTCTTCTTGCATGGTAATTTCTGATCAAATGTTTTGCCTTCTTTATATGGTACTAAGTGATATGTCCAGGATTATAATGTAATCTTCCTCTAGGGAACATTTACTTTTCTGGATTGGCACTGAGGTTGGACAAATACTTCATTCTCTCAGTGGAGACTTACACAGATTTTAGCTGGTGGGCTGCTATGTAGCCTTGACTTTTGGACTGTAGTCTTTTAGCTGTATCCAAAGGAGCCTGAGTATCTCTATATTCTTTGCCTTAGACACTGGAAGCCACTTTTTCTCAGCAGAAGTTCTATTATCTTTCCAGGCTCTCAGTCTTCTCTATGACTGACAGGTGTCTTCAGGGAAAGTAGAAGTGGTTTTGCCTCTGTGGATGTTTTTCTCCATGTCTCCAGGTCTTGACCTTTCAAACGATGGGATTTGATGGTCACCTCTAATTTTCTGGGTTTTCTTTCTTTTCATATTTAATCTGCTTTTCTTGTTTGGTATTAGTAGTAGACATGACATAGAATCAGTTTGTTTGTCATAACTAGAAGTAAGAGTCAGTCTCAATTACTTTTAATAAAAATTCCAAAGTTAATTAAAAATCTGGCCTATTTTAAGCAGTTCCTATATGCTAGGCATTAACTTCTATGCTTAAAGTGATATCATGTCTCTCACAGAAAAACAAAAGGTACCTATTTGGTTTTGATAGGAAAGAAATCTTAAGTATTCTGATAGGTTAAGTAACTTTCCCAGAATTATTAAACAAAACTTTAACACAATGATAGATCTAAGTATAGTGTTACCTTGTCTCCTTACAAATTCCTTTTTTTCCCAGTATTATTGGCTCACTTACCTTGTTATTCTCAACTGTCTTTTCTGGTTGTTTGTTTTCACATTATCATTCACATTGAGAAGTAGGTAAAGGAGGCTTGCCTTTCCACAGCATTTATCCTATTATTCACTACTATTTCTCAACAAGAAGAACCTCTATGTAAAAAAATACATAGATGGCATAAAATTGAAAAATCAAATATCTAATTCTTTTTCTGCTAATAACTAGCTATGATCCCAAATCCCCAAAATTTTATATTATTTTCAGTAGCTTCTGAGAGGCGAGAATTGCCTTATTACAACTGGCATGGACTGAAATTTGGAGTCTCTTGGTAATCTAACAATGAATACACCTCTAAAAGGTGTATTATCTCAAAAGT